ACAAACAGCATTAAGCAAGGCATACTTGAAAAAATGAGCATTAAAACCAGGGCAGAGTTTCCTCAGATCAGAGGTACAGAATTGTCTAAGGGTAAAGCCTAGTTGTGAGCTTTCCAGTCCTCTAATAGGGATGAGAAGTGAAATTGTGATTGTGACAGTAGGTCCACAATTAACTTGATCCAGTGAATAGAAACAAACATGAAAGGGTACAAAGTTGTTGCTGAACCACTAGAGATTAACTGCTGGAACCACAGGACCATAGGGACTCGAGAGCTTCTCCGTGCCTACCTTTAGCTTGGGGGATAGAATTTACCCTCAGCCTGATATAGTCCTTCATACAAAACTGGTTAATTTGGTCTTTGTGCAAGGTTTGATGACAAATTCAATACAGAATAAATAACTGAACTGGTTTCAGGGATGAGTTCCAGATGAGTCAGTTTGACTTTTATCAATACTAATGATAGTTTGCAGTTGGACACTTAAATGCACTTTTGATTACTGCCTACATTACAGTACCATTGCAAGATCTGGATATTAAATAGCTGTAATTATCTTTCTTGAAAGTGAGTCATTGTCACATAAATCATTAAGTTCTCCTTTTCCTTAAGGCTATGGCTGAAATGATGGCTGAAAACTACCATAACATATGGGCAAAGAAAAAGAAAATGGAACTGGAAGCGAAAGGTAATGATCTGGGCTTTTTGTTTGCTTACTTTTTTTTTTTTTTTTTTAAGTATTTTAAGATCAGAGTGACTAACTTAGCTTATGTGTTTGTGATGCGGTGTTAAAGAAAAGCAAATTAAAAAAGAAAACCATTGGTTTAAAATTGATCCAAAAATCAGAAATCAAGACAAAACACGTATTCATAGTTTTTAAATTAGTTTATTATCATTATTATTTCTGAACATCCAGAAGAGGCATCATATAAATATAGAGTGAGAGAGAGAAGTTACAGACTAATTCAGTAAGGAAAAAGAAAGGACAAGGTTTGTTTAACTAAAGTCTTGATTGTTGTGTCCCATTTGGATTCCTTTTATTTATTTAACTTACAACACCAGTCACTTGGTCATAAGAAATAGATTTCATTCACATTGTTTTACATATTGCCAAGTTATACAGCAGTGTATTAATCAAGAATTATATTCATTACACATTAAATTGACAAACGTGATTAGTCCTAGATTAAGACCTTGGCTTCACAAGGAAAATAGTGTACTCTGTCTAATCTTTTCTGGTCCAGTTGGGCAAATATTACCATACATGATAATGTTACCTGTTATGTTTTCTTCTGTGATAAAGTAAAGATTTGTTTTGTTTGTTTGTTTATTTATTTATTTGATTATTTGATTATTTATTTGATTATTGTTCTGTTTTAATGCTAACATTTTATTCTGTAGATTTTATCATTTAATTTCTACATGGAAAAAATTGTGATTGCACAGTAAATTTCACTAACTGGAATGTAGGTTGTTTTCCTCATCCAAAGATGTCAAGACAAAGAGCAAATATGGGTTTTTCCTCTTTTTATCTAATTTTCTGTTTACTGTATAGTGGTAGCTAATATTTTACTGATGGCTTGGTGCAACTATACTCGTATTTCAAATAGAGTGCTGAAGTTATTGGCTATTTGCCAGATTGAATTCTACTGCCTTCACTGGAGTCGTGTGGGTATAACTGAAGGCAGAATTTGTCCCTATATAGAAAGTGTTGTCTATGGATGTGTATATGAAGCCTTAAAATTACTGAGCAGTAATACCGTATCTCGATGACCCTTGTGTTGGATGAATGAGAGTGAATTTTCAAATCTTTAGTTATGTTTCCCTTCATTTCAGTTTCTTCATGATTTTTTAAAATAAATTGTATCTAACTTAAGTAGCCAGTTTGGGGAGGGAGGGCATGTTAGAGTATGTTGCAAGAATATTAGACATTTGGAACAGGGAGGTGTATTTGTCACCTGCTAAGGCAGAGATGTTTCTCTGCATGCTCATTAAATAAAGGGGTTTACAAGAAAGAATAGCAGCAAGAAGAAGGGTTGTTGCTTTTTTTTAACTGTTGCAGGTAGTTATGATGAATAGAAGAGAAGTTTCACTCTGGGTGCTACTTGGTAAGAAGTGGGGATTGGTTTGTCAGGCAAAAAATGGTTATGATTTTCCAGTGTGTTTGCCTTTTTGTGGTATAGTGAATATATGTAACTTCCCAAAGATGAAAATTGCAGAATAATTATGTAGATGTCTGATACAGGTCATGTACATACATATTTTTATTACCTTGTTTAGTTTTAAAATTATTTTTGTGGAAAGATTGTTCAAATTATGATCCTCTGCTGTCACCTAATGGTCAAGTATATTCAGTACAATAATATTCTTGTTAAGAGTTTTCTCCCATGTACATGTGGATCTTTCCACTGTCTTTAATTAACTATGAAATATGAATCTTTTTGATGTGTGGCAATATTTGTGTGGTTGCTTGTTTTGCAGAAGGAAAATGTGCGATTCCAGAAAGCTGTAGTTTTTGTTTTCTTCTGAGAGTCTTTAAATTGCTAATTTTGTTGAGCACTTTACCCAATCATATTCTTGATCCATTTCATACACAATTTGTAACATCTCACCCAAGTTAGAGTAATGTAAATTGTTAATTGAAAAAAAATTAAATTAGATAGAGACTCGGGGTGTAAGAGCATAGACATTTAAATCAGTTACCCAAATGGCTGGATCGCCACACCCAGCTACCAGTCCGGTTTTGGGGAGCCGCCTGCCACCACACACTGCTGCCTCTGTATCAGAATCAACAGCGTGGGGTGGTCGGTGGCAACTGGTACACATGGGGAGCCAGTTTAAAAGCTGGCACATACAAGCTATCGGAGAGCCACCTGCTGCCTGGTACTGCTGCCTCTGTATTATAGGCAGCAGCGCAGAGTAGCAGCCCGCTCCCTGGGAGCAGGGTGGCAAGCGGGAGCCAGTGCACCCTGGGAGCTAGCTTAAAAGAATTGAATCTTAGCTTTAACCAGTTAACCAATTTTAGCACTGAGGGAGTGGTGATGTGCTGTGAAGTGTGATCAGTGGCGTAATAGCAAGTCATAGTTGTAACTTTTTAAGTACTTTTTCCTTACAGGAATTTATTTTTATCAAGGATATTGATGCTTCTTGCTACCATAACATTTGCAAGTCTTGGGAACATTTGACTAACTTACAAATATGTATGTAGTCAGGTCTTTAAATATAATTCTGAGACATTGTGTGGAAAAACCAAACAAAATAGAAAAGCATATTATAATATAGAATAAGCATAAGCATATTGGTACCTTAGGGCTCATCTAGACTACACAGAACAGTTGTAAGAGGATATGCAAAATCTGCGTCTAAACTACGTTCGCTTTT